AATTGCTTTAAGTCATGAGAAGAGTTTTTCAGGAGCTGCCATTGCTCATGAACTTAGGCAGCATGTCCAAAAGCCTACACCAAAACCGCATCAGTTCCACAATCATCTAAACTTAACAAATTCCATAGCAATTAACGAAGTCCACATGCTATGATATAACGCGGTGTTGTACTGGAGTTTCTGATCCCACTGTGGCTGGAGAAACTATTCTCCGCGTTCGGCCGCGGACATGCTAAAACATAGGAACAAGGAAATAACAGCAAGATCGGTCATCCGCTGAAGGTTAATGTGATCATCCAGTTTTGTTCAGGATCCACAAGAATCAGTGGTAATCCGATATCCACTGGTGGAGAGGAACCGCGTCTGGCCTGCTCCGAGCATCAACAGAGAGCCCATCTCCCTCGGAGCGTAATCAGATTTATTCATACAGTACTTACCTTTACAGTGGCAGACGCCAGACCAAAAGACCCCTTTCAGCGTATTAGCCTGTATAGAGTGTCACTGATGGGGCAGCTGGCAGCACTTCTGTCTGATGCTGGGGGGCAGACACAGATGAGCACAGTTTCGTTGTGTTCGGGGGGGAGGGGGGAGGCTGGGTCGGTGTAGCTGCGGAGGAGAGCGCCGCTCTGGGTGGGCGAGGAGAAGAAGAGGCTGCTGGGCCGCCAGGCCGGTCCGAACGGACAGGAGCTGGAGATCGGTCTGGACTGGCCGACCTGGCTGCGGACTGGCGATGGTTTATAAGTCTGGCATTTGAGAAAAGGGCACAACTTGACCTCTGGTGAGACCTTTATCAGAACAAATTTGGACGGGATTTGGTTGCTTTTCCGCCAGAGATTTCCTGCTTGTGTCATGCATTGATTTATTTTTGCCGTTTCATGCAGTGCCTTAATCTGGATGAGCCATGATTTTACTGCACTGCACTCTAGTCCTTTGCTCTGAAAATGGGATGGCACAGTGAGCTTTTAAACACCAACCATTCGTTAAGGATCCTTAAGACAGGAACTCCCCGGCGCAACATCACAGCCTGCATCAGCAGGGGAGGAGTGTTAATCTTCTGCTGCAGGACACTGGAGGACAGGAGGTGGTGTTTGTAGAGGAGCACCACCCTTTGGTGGGGTAGTTAAGGTCTTGTTTCTTTGGAATGATTTATCCACATTGTATATGTTGCCAAATTTCAGTCCCGTGTCTGGAATTGCAGTGTGTGTGTGTGTGTGTGTGTGTGTGTGTATAACAGATTGACTGGGTGCGTGCACAGTCTGGGAGTGAAATTCATTATTTGTTTCTTTTTGTTTCTGTTTCAGAAGGATCTTCCTTTGCCCAGGAAGAGCAGTGGGTGAGTACTGCTTCAAGATCAGATGTTCAGATTCACATCCTGTGTGCAATGTTAGGGCTGCTTTTTTAAAGCACTTTTTTCATCTTGTGGGGTGGGGGATGAAATTCTCTCCAAAGGTCTGC